CCTCCCTCCCCAAATGGAGCTGGGAGGGGGCTGATCCCGCACCCTGACCCCCTGTACTCACTGCATGAGGACACAGACACCGACGAGCAGCGCCGAGGCCACCACGGCCACCACCACCAAGGCGGTGATCGTCTGCTTCTTCTGGTTGGCGGCCACCACGGCCAGGAGATCGGCGTGTTCACACCGCGTCCCCACGTACCCCGAGTGACACCTACACCAGGACAAAGGGGACACTAAACCCATCGGCCTCAACACCACCATGGTGACACCCAAAATGGGTACAACCCTGATTATTTGGAGGGGTGGATTTTTACGGGGAAAGGTGAAGATCACCAATGGGTTGTCCACGGCACTTACACACACGCCGGCTTCTCCTCCTGCACCAGGAACCGGCAGGGGACGCGGGCACCGAACTAGCTAAAAAAAAACGGACACTCGTTGAAATGAGATCTCACCGCTGCTGCTACCGGAGGGCCTGGAGCTGCCAGAAAAAAAAAAACACAAAAAACAAGGAGAAAAACATCATTTTTGGGGGCACTTTGTTGAGTTTGTAGTCGCTGGAGTGTCACCAATGGTGGGTCAGGAGCTGGGAGCAAAAAAACAAGGAGAAAATGGCATTTTTGGGGACATTTGCCAGGCCAGCAGCCACCCCGGTGTCTCTGACAGTGGGTTCAGAGCTGGGACCAAAAATAAGGAGAAAACAGCATTTTTTGGGGCACTTTATTGAGCTTGTAGTTGCTGGAGTGTCACCAATGGTGGGTCAGGAGCTGGGAGCAAAACCAAGAGCAAAAACGAGGAGAAAATGGCATTTTTTGGGATATTTGCAGGGCCAGCAGCCACCCCAGTGTCACTGACACCAGGGTAGGAGCTGGGAGCAAAAACAAGAGCAAAAACAAGGAGAAAATGCCATTTTTGGGGGGCATTTGCTGGGCCAACAGCCACCTGGTTGTCACTGACACCGGGTCAGGAGCTGGGAGCAAAAACAAGAGCAAAAACAAGGAGAAAATGCCATTTTTGGGGGGCATTTGCTGGGCCAACAGCCACCTGGTTGTCACTGACACCGGGTCAGGAGCTGGGAGCAAAAACAAGAGCAAAAACAAGGAGAAAATGGCATTTTTTGGGGCATTTGCTGGGTCAGCAGCTGCCCTGGTGTCACTGATGATGGGTCTGGAGCTGTGAGCAAAAACAAGAGCAAAACCAAGGAGAAAATGGTATTTTGGGGGATATTTGTGGGGCCAGCAGCCACCTGGTTGTCACTGACACCAGGTCAGGAGTTGGGAGCAAAAACAAGAGCAAAAACAAGGAGAAAATACCACTTTTTGGGGCATTTGCTGGGCCAGCAGCCACCCTGGTGTCACTACCAGCAGGTCCAGAGCTGCGTTTTTAGGGCTGGATATATTGATTTCTCGATTTGCCGGGTGGGATGTGATCCAGCAGCCACATCCCAACCAGGACCACCCGAAGGAGCCCAGATGGGTCCTACTTAAACCAGCACCAAAAATCAACCTCGCTGGCACTAGAGGAATTTCCTAAAGAGCTTAAAAAGCTTAAAACAGAGGAGGAGAGAGTTAAATAAGGGCGAAGCCGGCTGTGCCGACGGCTTTGCTGGGGGATGCTGTTTTCCATTACATCCCGCGCTGGTTTAAATTATCCTCGGCAGGCAGAGACGGAAAACAAATATCCTGCTTTCAGATTATCCGGGGTATAAAGCACATCCGATCGCTGTCGTTTCAAAGCCACCTCAAGTTCCTGTTGCTGTGAATTTATGGCAGATCGGGGTAATTAAACCCACGTCTGCCAAATCCTTCCGGGTCTTCGAGGAGATGAAGTGAGGAAAGAGGGAACGGGGATCGGTTCAGACGGGGATGTGCTGGGGTGATGTCCCTGTCTCTGATGGTGGGAGGTTTGGAGGTGGTGGAGTTGGTGGAGCATCCTCAAGGAGCCAGGATTTGGTCATGGTGGTCTCCATTGCCGCTGAAATCTGCGCCGAGGCGCGGAACCTCACCCCAAAAAACCCCGATGCCTCCCTCCCTGGGGATGGCTTTATCCCAAGGGAGCCTGGCTTCATCCCAAGGGAGCCTGGATTCCCCTGACTCTTGAATATCCCCACAAAAATAACCTTTTTTGGGGTTTTTTTAACCTGCAAAGCCCCACACACAGCAGTGCCAGTACCCACTTCGCCACGGCGTTTTGCTCCGAAGCCTCTCGGCGCTGCGGTAGCACCGTTCCCTTTAACCAATGCCGTGGGACCATCCCATATCCCAACCCCAAAAGGAGATTTTTTTTTTTTTTAATTATTATTATTATTATTTTTTTTTTCCATCCCTGCCCAAAACCAGCCCTTCCTCCAGCCAGCACATCCCCACCGGAGGCCAAACCCCCGGGAAGAGAAGGGCTCTTGGCCGTCTCAGCCCATTGTGCCACATTTTATGAATGAGGCGATTTATCGGATGCGACCGACTCGGTGCCGCCGCGAGCCGGCGTCAGGCACCGGCAGCTTCCCTGTGGGAAACCAGACATCGCCTCATGCTGAGAGGCTCTGTGCCAGGATTTGCCCCCCACCCCCCAAAAAAACCCCTAAAAGCATGAAAAACACCCACCGCCAAGCCCCACTTCCCAGTTTTCCCTTGGGATAAAGCCACTGTGGGGTCAGGATCCCACCCATTATCCCCCCTCCAGGAGCAGGATGGAAATATTCTCTACAGGCAGAAATACTCCATATAGGTAGAAATAACCCATAAAGGTAGAAATACTTCATGCAGGTAAAATACTCTAGGCAGGCAGAAATACCCTACGTGGGCAGAAATATTCTCTCCAGGCAGAAATACTCCATACAGGCAGATAACCTGTGCAGGTAGAAATATTCTCTACAGGCAGAAATATTCTCTACAAGCAGAAATACCCTCTATAGGGAGAAGTATTTTCTACAGGGAGAAATACTCCACACAGGCAGAAATACTTTGTTCAGGTAAAATACTCTGTACAGGTATAAATACCCCGTATGGGCAGAAATACTCCACACAGGCAGAAATACCCTGTACAGGCAGAAATACCCCATACAGGCAGAAATATGCTCTACAGGGAGAAATATTTTCTACAGGCAGAAATAACCCATAAAGGTAGAAATACTTCATGCAGGTAAAATACTCTGTACAGGTATAAATACCCCATACGGGCAGAAATACTCCATACAGGCAGATAACCTGTGCAGGTAGAAATATTCTCTACAGGCAGAAATATTCTCTACAAGCAGAAATACCCTCTATAGGGAGAAGTATTTTCTACAGGGAGAAATACTCCACACAGGCAGAAATACTTTGTTCAGGTAAAATACTC